ATGGCGAAACCCACTTGGTAAGATTTCCCCTTTACATCTCGCGGTCTAGTCATCGGGTTCTGGAGAGCTGAGGTTCCCGGGGACTCTGAGTAGAAACCGAGGGCTTTATATAAAGGTTGCATCCATGGACGTTGCTTGTCTTTCTGGCAAAACAAAACAAAAAATAGCTCCAGAAGTCCTGCAAAACGGAAACACTATTTCTTGGCGTAACCATTCAAGGAGGTGGGGATCAGACACTGGAACGAAGAGGGAAATGATTCAGGAACCCTGCAAAATATATTTACTTTTCAAAGACATAGGGATCATCCCGCACCCCACCCCACCCAAATTCCACCCTACAGCTCTAATCCAGTCCCCGAGGGAGGAAAGCAATGCAAATTCAACTCACAGGTTCCTGACTGGATCTCCGTGGTCCTTCATGTGGGAAATGGACGCTCACCTTCATAGCCATCAAACCTTTGAGAGAAACTGGAACTGAGGCAGAGGGTTTGGTAAGGCCATTATGGACATCCTAGACAGGTGTAGAGATGCCTGGGCACCCGAAGAATGGAACTAAAAAAACCCAAACTAGAGGCTACCAGAAAGGTCAGAAACCTGCCAGCAGAGCAGCAATTACCTGTGGGACTCACCTGGTGCTAAGGTGAGCCATTATCCCCTTTCCTCCCTTTTGCCTCAGACCCAGGGATTAGATCCAAGAAAGGTAGTTCCTTGACCTTTTCTGTTCTCTCAAGACAAAGATCCTGTTTACAACTTCCCCCTCCCCCAACCTCCAAACTCAAAAATAGAGACAGAGGCTTCCCCATCCAAAGACTCCGGTCCCCTGCCTGTGTCCCCTACCTGTTGAGCGCTGGGCTCTGCCTGGACTCAACAGGGCTGGCTGGGAAAGTGACTGCGCGTGGCTCCTCCGGTCCACGGCCACCGTAGCTGCACAGAAGACGACGGAAGGCGTCGCGAAAGTCCGGGCTGCGGCAGTAGATGAGCGGATTGAAGGCGGAGTTGGCATAGCCCAGCCAGTTCAGGGCGATGAAAACTCCGCTGGGAACTAGAGAGGGCCCCGCGAGTGCGCGCAGCACGTTGGCCAGAAAGAAGGGCAGCCAGCACAGAGAGAAGATGCCCATAATGAGACCCAAGGTGCGCAGGGCGCGGTGTTCCCGGAGCGGCAAGAGGCGCGCAGGCCGCCGGCCAGAGGGGGGCACGCCATCCGATGCCGCCGGTGTCCCGCCTGTGGCAGGGGACGGGGAGCGCGACGGAGACGGCGGAGACTCCCCGGGCGGGAAGCGGCCCAGCTCCCGGCGCAGCAAACGCCGTTGGCGCTTGGCCACGACAAACACCCGAGCGTAGACGAAGAGCATCACAAGGAGGGGAAGGTAGAAGGAGACGGAGGAGGAGAGCAGCGCGTAGGGCATATTGGAGGCAAAGGAACAGCAGCGCGGATTGGAGTGACACTCCTGCGCCTCGGCGTCTGCCCCTACACGCCACCACTGGCTCATGATGGGCGCAAAGGACACGGCGGCGGACACGATCCACACCAGGACTACTGCCGCCCGGGCGCGGCGCTTGGTAACCAGCGTGCCGTAACGCAGAGGGTTGGTGACAGCTAGGTAGCGGTCCACAGCCAGGGCGCACAGGGTCTCGATGCTGGCAGTTACACAGAGTACGTCCACTGAGGTCCACAGCTCGCAACCAGTTGCGCCCAAGGGCCAGTGGCCAGTCAGCGCCAATGTGGCCCCTGGTGGCATTACGAGGAGTCCCACTACCAAGTCAGCTGTGGCCAGCGAAGTCACGAACACGTTGGTTATGGTCTGTAGTCTCGGCGTGCGAGCGATGGATATGATTACCAGCAGGTTGCCTCCCACCGTGGCCAGCGCCAGCAATGCCCCAGCCAATGCCGCTGCCCATGGTACCCCTGGCAACCCACTGGTGTTGGCTGCACTGGGGTCCAAGGTGGGGGCGTCCGACCACAAAGCCAGAGAGCCATTTTTGTAAGGCCACGAAGCCATCTCGTGTCGCGCCTGGGGTGGGAAGGTTCCCCCCAGACCCGCTGGCTTAGGGAAGGGGGCAGTAGAGCTTGGGAGCGACTCTTCCAGCCTGGGCCATCTTCCTTAATTGCTGGGGTAAGTCTGTCAGCTTCCCTCCATCTCACCCCCCCACACACACCCTAGATGCCGGGAGGAGTGGCTGCTTTTAAAGGAACAGCGTCCAATAGTCACAAGAGAGGCCTCTGGTGGGAATTGGAGGGTGGAGAGGGACTCCCTTAGCACAGGTTTCCTGGAGCTCAGCAGCTCCTTCCTGGTAGAACCTGAGGCAACCCTTACCCATGGTAGAGTTCTCATCAACTTCTTGGAGATGTATTCATAAGAAGTTAGAGTTGAGGGATTTATGTGTGTGCATGTGGATGTGTGGGTGCATCAGGTGTCTCCCTCTGTTATTTTCCAGTTTATTACCTTGAGACAGGGGTTCTCACACGGCCAGAGAGCTTTTGCTTTGGCTAGGATGGTGGATCCTGGGCTTTGGAGATTCACCTGCCTCTGCTTCCCAAGGCTGACGTCAAGGGCATGTATGACCACACTTAACTCTTCACTTGGGTGCTGGGGATTTGAACTCAGTTCCTCATGCTTGCAGAACAAACCCTCTTACCTACTGAGACATCTCCCAGGGCCTTCATACTGCATTTCTGGAGTGTGTAGAAGGATAAGCCTGGTATTTTAATGCCTCTGAAGTTTCTTATACAGTAAGACCAGCCCCTCTGAGCTCCCTCCCCTCACCCAGACTTATAAGGCCTAACCCTGCCATCCAGTCTCCCAGCAAACAGTTTTTTCCAAATAGGATGTGGGGATGAAAGGCTTAGAAATAAACCTCTAGGCCAGGCGGTGGTGGCACACGCCTTTAATCCCAGCACTTGGGAGGCAGAGGCAGGCGGATTTCTGAGTTTGAGGCCAGCCTGGTCTACAGTGTGAGTTCCAGGACAGCCAGGGCTATACAGAGAAACCCTGTCTCAAACCCCCCCCCAAAAAAAAACCCCCAAAACAAAAACAAAACAACAACAACAAAAAAAGAAATAAACCTCTAGGGGTTAGGGAGATGACTAAGTCAGTGAAGTGTTTGCCTTGCAAGCAGAAGGACCTGAGTTCGATGATTCCTGGGACGTGAATTCCTGGAGTGACGGCCTGCACATATAATCTGAGGGTTGAGGATGCCTGTCAAGGTTGACCCTTGAGCTGCCTCATTTCCTCCCCTGAAACAATGGGGCAGAAGAGAAAAATAAGTATAGTGGAAAACACCTCCAGGGCCCCATCTCCCTGGCATGTTCTTTTGAACAGCTCTATATTTCGAAAGTGTACTATATAGTCACTGGTCTAGGCAATCCCTGTGGGAGGCTGAACCAGGGGTTGGGAGTCAGAAAGGTTGGATGGGGAAGAGAAAACCTAAAATTATCCCTGAAGAAAAAGGGCCAGCCAGGCTCCCAGGGACTCTGCAGCTCACTCACCCATGAGCAGGACTGTCAGGGGCTCCCAGGGAAATGCTTCCCCTGTCCCATGGATGCAGCCTTCAGAGCTCCCTTCTGCTGCCCCTGTCCCTGTCCCTGTCCCAGGCATGCCAGGGTGATGCAGGCTGCATTTGGCTGTGGCTTCTTGCTGATCATCAGGGTGATTGCACCCAAATCATGTTTTGCAACACCCCAGAGCGCTGCCAGTTATCGCAAAGGGGTGTCATAAGATTCTCGGCAAGCAATCTCTAAAACAAATACATGCCATTTGGCACTTTCCCCCCTTAGGACATCAGAGTAGGTTGGGGAATGATATCTCCCCCAAGACATACTCAAGGGCTGTCACTTGAGTCAATGACGGACCTCGTTATTTGAAGAAAATGTACAAAAATGTTTATCGTTTTGAAAAAGACCAAGAATCCCTAGTTGTAAGGACATACTCACGTGTGGCAAACGATTAGTCCTGTAACCAAATCTTGTGAGAATAAATTTGGCAGACCCCTGCTCCCAAAGGCCTGGGAGGCAGCGGAGCCATACCCAAGTACTCTGCCTCCTTCCTCGCCACCATTTTCTTCCTGTCTTGGGCCTTGAGCTGTTCCCATAATTTTACTGTTCTGGTCTTTGAGATTATTCTCTTGTTTTTGGAAATTTTATTGTAAGGTTTTTTTTTTGTTGTTGTTGTTTTGTTTGTTTGTTTTTTCGAGACAGGGTTTCTCTGTGTAGCCCTGGCTGTCCTGGAACTCACTCTGTAGACCAGGCTGGCCTCGAACTCAGAAATCTGCCTGCCTCTGCCTCCCAAGTGCTGGGATTAAAGGCGTGCGCCACCACCGCCTGGCTATTGTAAGTATTTAAAAGGCAGTGTATTCACATCGTTCAACCATCACAATACAGAAAATGTAAGTAACAGAAGGTGGCTTCCATCCCGCTGTTCAATTTCTCAATAAGTAACTACTATCGGATCTTATTAATCTTTCCAATAATATTTTATATAGAGATAACTCAGGCTATAAAAACATACTCTTTTTCCATTGTTTTCCACACAAATGTATCTCAGCTTGTACTTTTAAGTCTTAACATAACTATATGGATCTAACTTATGACCTCCTAGATGAGCATACAGAGATGCTCATGTTTTAGTGTGAATGGACATAAGACTATCTACTAGTGGACATCTGACTTGCTTTCTGTCTTTATCAACAGATGATGTTGCAGTGTATAACTAATACCCTAGTCCTTGCATACCTGTGGAAACGCATTTGTTTCTATAAACAGAATTGGTATAAATCAGGAATATACTTGTAAATTTAGAAGTCATTGCTACATTTTCTTCCCCAGACAATATGTCTCTTTCCAACTTCACTATCACTCTGGGTGGCCAGCTGGGGGTTGCAAGCCAGTGGCCTGATGCTCTGGGAAGCCATCCTAATGACTGGGCCTCCGGGAATTAGCATTGCCTGTTCTGTAGAGGTCGTCCAACTCTGGATAGACACATACATTGCCCAGAGAGACCGGTTGCTCAGGCCCAATCCCCCATGACCTTTGTTTTATGCCCTTGGAAGCAATCAGTGAGTTTGGACCCCTAAGATGCTGACAGTGGACCCCCAGGCTATATGTTAGAAGCTCCGAGGATGTGTCTGGAAGAGTAGTAGTCTGTGGTGAGAAGAGCCGGCAGAGGCAGCAGCCACTTGATGGACAGAAGTTCTAATAACAGGAAGTTTTGTCCCGGAGAGTAAGCAGAATCTGTGGTCCATAGTCACTGACATGGGGTACTTGTTCATGTGTTTACATGACATGGTAGCAAGAAACCCAGGAGGGCTTCTGTGCCTGTGGCCTGGTGCCTTGTCTAAGACCATGAATGTTAGAGGTGCATGTATATAGTACATACATGTGTGTTTTCTATTTCTGGTGCTTGGGCTTGAACCCAAGGCCTCACTCCACTAAGCATACCCTCTAACTCCAAGATATGTTTCCAGCCACGTAGAGGTGGCTAAACCCTACCAGTCGTAACCCACCATTTTGGCTTTAAGGTTCTTGGAAAGTAGATGGGTGTGGTGGTTTATAGTTCTTGCACTTGGGGGGCAAAATCAAGAAGAGCCTGAGTTGTAGGCTAACCTCAGCTACATGGTGGCACTCTGTCTCAAAAACAAAAATAAATAAGTTCCCAGAACGGAGGAAGGCCGAGAGGACATTTCCTCCTCCTCTGTAGATGGCTCTGTCCTCTCCAATCCACAGTGGCTACTCACTTGCAGTGTTTTGATGAATGACCACATGGCTTCTGGACAGTGGCTTTTGTGTTTACTGTCTGTCCTTCTGTAACAGGTAGTCCAAGGGTTTAGGACCAAAGTAGCTTATGATAACAGCTAGGACGCTAGTCACAAGACTCTGAGTTTCATCGAGCATTACATAAGCTGGACATGAAAGTGCATGCCTGTGATCCCAGCAACCAAGAGCTAAAGGTAGCATGTTGGAAGCTTAGAATATTCTCCTTCCTTCCTTCCTTCCTTCCTTCCTTCCTTCCTTCCTTCCTTCCTTCCTTCCTTCCTTCTCTCTCTCTCTCTCTCTCTCTCTCTCTCTCTCTCTCTCTCTCTCTCTCTCTCTTTCCTTTCTTTCTTTTTGGTTTTTCAAGACAGGGTTTCTCCGTATAGGCCTGGCTGTCCTGGAACTCACTCTGTAGACCAGGCTGGCCTTGAACTCAGAAATCCACCTGTCTCTGCCTCCCTAGTGTTGGGATTAAAGGCGTGCGCCACCACTGCCCAGCAAGCTTAGAATATTCGTGACCAGACACCATGTTTGATGCCAGTCTGGGATACTTGAGTCTCAGTATTTGAAAGGGGGAAGGGGATCTCTCTAAATGGGCTCTCCTTCTCCTCCTTTCTAACAGTGCTGGGGATTTATACATGCTAGGCAAGCCTTCTACCTCTAGGTTATTGTTTTCCACCCAGCTATTGTTTTGCTCTTTTATTTTACACAGGTCTCACTAAGTGATTGGCCTTGAAATCACTTTGTAGCCTAGGCAGAGCTTGAGTTTATAGTCTTCCTGACAAGATCTCATCAGTAGCTGAGATTACAGGGCATTGCACTCGTCTCTAAAACAGGTATTAAAGATCAAATCCAATATCAACACCTTATAGAGTTATATATTGAGGCCCAGGGAAGAAAGCCAGGCACCTTCACAATCACTAGAAAAGCTAATTCCTAACAGGTACACAGGCAGAGGAGCCATGGGGTCTTTTGCTAGCATAACTTGTCCTCATTCCCAGCCAGACTGTGCCAGTAACATTTCTCTTTTGTCTTATATGGGACAACAATGGACCACCATCTCCCTGGAGTCAGGGAGGTTAACCGAAGCTGCAAAGAAGCCCTAATGGAAGACATTTTGTTTCCTTTAACACATGGCAAAGCTGACTCTACACACATCTGCATGAAGGAGAGACAGAGAAAAGGGTTCCAGTCTCAGGGAACAAAAGATTCATGTCCAAGGGACAGGCTGAGACAAGGGCTTTCCATGAGAAA